TGGGTGGCGGGTGCAATCCCCAGTGTGGGGCATGCAGGGGGCAGCCAATCAATGATTCTCTCTCATTGTTGATTTCTCTCTCTCTCCTCCCTCTCTCTGAAATCAATAAAAAATGTATTTAAAAAAATTAAAAATCAACTAAAATTTCATTTGTCAACATCTGCTCATAGCAGTCTCAAATACCACAAACCTAAAAAGTGAGAGCTTCCAACTACTTCCTGGCTTAGAAGATCGTGGGCTCTGTATCCATTTCAAATTAATACCTTCAGTGGAACCTCAATCAGGTGGACAGAATGGCTCTTAGGGCAAAAGGCACAAGTACTAGTATTAACATCTCTAAATTCAGAAGGTAAGTCTGCTGGGACGCATGTCAGGGTTTCTAGGTTATTCACTATTGAGTATGAATAGAGCCGATGCAGTAAGAACCTTATGACAGAAGCATCTAGAACCTTTACCAAGTAGCTAAAGGCAAAGATATTTGGAGATGTCATCCCTCAAAAAAATCTGTAAGCTTTGCAAGTGTTTTAAAATTTATGTTATAATCTATGACAATAGCAGAGGGGAAATGTTTCAAATAATTTTGCTACTAGTGAATATCAATTAAGTTACACAGTATGTGCTGGACACCTGCAGGCGTGTTAAATACGTCAGCTTGCTGAATGAAGTCTCATTTGAGGATTTAATGACAACGTGTATAATGCCAGCACCCAGCTGTTTAGAAACCTTCTCTCTCTGAAATGAGGCCAAGAGCCAAGAAGAAAACTCACCACCACATTCAGGTGCCAGCCTTCCAGGGTTCACTTTTGCGAGAGGCCCTCGCCCATAAGACACTGGAGAGGAAACTGCACTGAAGTTGGAACCAGGAAGTTCAGGGTCAGACTGAAGAACCAAAAGGCACAACCGCATAAGGAGGGCCATTGGGCTGTTTAGCTCATCATAACCTGGTGGCTTATCACAGTAATGATTCCTTTAGGGCTCGGGTCCTGCTGTGCTCACTGTGCCCCCCTTCTCCCCCGTAGGGAACAGATTTTGCAGGGCATCGTACGTGCTCAATTTTCATTAGTGATGCTTATAATGACGGTCCTTTGTCCTCAAAAGGATTTAATTATATCTAATATGTGCTACAAAGAGAACAGCAAAAACACATTTGAAAAGATTTCCTATGATTGTTGACACTGGAACAAGGGATAGAACGTTCAAGAGAGAGAGAGATCCGCAGCTGTCCAGAAAAACTGATTATAGAGAACAGCTTAGAGAACAGCCCCCGGGGGTTCCAGGACACCGGCGTTTCAGGAAATGCACTCAGCGCTGCTCTTCCTGCTGGTGGGCCGTGCATCCTGACCTGCTCTGCCTCCGAGGCTGGAGGCCGGGGAGAGCGGGCATCCGTGGGCCCCCAGTGTAATGGAGATGTCTGCTGACCTTCGGGACAGAACAGCCAGAACTGGGGCAGCTCAAAAGGGGTCCAAGGAGTCAGCAATCACCACCCGGGTCTATGGGAGAGTCGAAAACAACTGACCTCCCTTCTAAAAGCACATGGCTCTCACTTCGGACAAGCCTGTCCTTTCTTGGGGGGTGCTAGCCAGCAGGTTGGAGGCAGACGGGGCAAGGGAGCCGCCTTGGAGGTGCTGGGGGACCCTGATAAGACACGGCCATCCGGCCATCCGGAAGAAGGGATGACTACATAATCAGCCAAGTCTATAAAGTCACTTGGTGGTAAAAGGCACTGCTCTGGTTGCTAGGCAGCCGAGGTTCCCTATCATGCAGGATGTGTGGCGGAGGGCCTCTTTCCCCTCCCTTTTAAGTTGAAAGTGGGTTTCTTACACGGTGAAAGGGAGAATGGGTGTGCCAGTCGGGTTCACCAACTTTCTGTGCAAACACTTTCTGCCGGGACCCAGGGGCACTGTCCCACTCAGCTGGGGCTTCCGAGTTGACTGTACGGTGCACCCCCCAGAGGCGCCTGCAGCCGCGGGAGCCCAGCCTGCACCGCAGCAGCAGAGCGAGCAGCTCTGAGCGCCCTGAGCGAGGGAAAGCGGAATCTCGAGCAAAACTTCTCGCTTCCTGTCGCTGCCGAGAGAGGCCGGCCTCGTCCCTTCTCACATGGCTCAGCCAGAACTGTAAACAGAGCCGCTCGCTCCCGCCGGCCCCACGCTCGGGGGCTCTCGGGGCGCCTCCCTGCGGTGCCCCCTTTGCCTCCCTGCGCCCAGGGTCATCCCGGTGCGGATAACGGTCCGGAACGCCCTCCACTTCCTCGAGTCCTCCCTGAAGTCATGGTTCCTCTTTCAAGAAAACATGGGGACGAGACGCCAGCCAGAGACTTGCACTAAAGGCAGCCTCAGCCCATCATCTGGGTGCATCCCACCCCTCCGTTATTGTACAGGGGCGGCTCCGAGTCCTTTTGTTGCACGCGCGCGCGCACACACACACACACACACACGCACCAAAGTAGGTGAGGGGGCCCCTCCGGCAGTATTGTTTCCCGCCGCACAGAACGCCTTTCCGAAATCCTCCTACCACCTCCGGACGCTGGGCTTTAGCGTTCGGCTAAAGAGCCAAACCTTCCCAGCCCAGGTCTGAAAAGCCGAGGTGGTCCCCCACGCAGGACGCTGGGAGGGAGGGCAAGCCGGACGCACCTAGAGGTTTGCATCCACACAAAGACATTAGCCGGGTGATTAGTGGGAGCAGCGGGCCGGGGACCGAGGCGCCCGCCGGCCTCCTCACCTGGGACATCTGCGGCCTCAGGTTGATCTCCTTCAGGTTGATGGAGCGCGCCCGGAGGTTGTTGAGCAGCTGGCAGAGGAGGACTCCATCGCGCAGGGTCTGCGCCAGGTCGAACACCTGCGCCGAGTCCCAGGTCACCCGGTGGTTGGCGGGCAGCACCTTGCAGTGGATGAGCCATTGGGC